GGACCCTTCTTCAGAAATTCCTGCTCCTCTGATGCTGCCTGGCCTGCTGTGTTCCTCCAGCTCCACACTGTGTTATCTCTGACTCCAGCATCATCAGTTCTTACTATCTCTAACCTTGATTGTGGCTCAGTGTCTCAATTGGATGGAGCAGGGCCATGGAGAGATTTACTACGAGACTTTGTAATATTCTGCCAAAGAAATTCCAGCTTTCATTTCGATCACAGCTACAATCATGAAGTTAATTTTTGAAAAGAAAAATTCATACCTCTTCAGGTGCCTCAACTTTTATAAATTTAGTGTAAATCTTCTTGGCCTCACAAGCTAGTTTTGTAGGACACTTGATTTTCTTGTAGTCCTCGCAGGCCAACCAGAAATTGATGTTCTCTTCACTGAATTCCGTCATGAGGAAGCTTCTGAAGGCAATCTGACCAGCTGTGTGAAAGGAATGAACTTTCGGCAGAACACTGAAAACATATTCATAACAAAACCATGCATTGAAAAACAGAGAATGCTGGAAATACTCAGCAGGACTGGCAACAAGACAGAAACAGAGATAACACTAAATTATGAAGTCTGGGTGTGATGATCCCCTCCCTTGAAGAGGCAAGGAAGAGTAAATAGTTGGGTGATGTAGCCCCAGAGAGTTTCCTTCTTGCCACCTCAGCAATGAAGTATTGTCTTAGAAGGTCGACAGATGACCATCTTGACTTGCCATCAGTTAAGGACTTCAAGTGATCAATAATGGCCAATTAAGGCCTCAACTCACCACTGGTTATCTGACAAATCTTCACCAAACCTCAACTTGGTAGAAGATACATTTGGTTGATTTGCTGCCACCATCCCCTTTCCTGATAGGGATTTATAAGGTCAGCTTGGTCTAGTGTGGGAGAAGAAAACTACCAATCAGTGTAATAAGAGGCTGTTGCCTTAAACAAGATGTAGTTCATCGCTTGAAAGCATCTATGTAAAAGTTGCATTGATGTGATAGACTTTGTTACTGAGACGATGAGGGAGATCTCAAGACTAGGTACTATTCTTTCAAGGTCCAAAGGGGTTTACCCCACTTAAGCCCATGTCAAATCAGATGGTGCATAACACACCCCTTCAGACCTGTTTACCTTTATATACCTGCTTTCCTAACAACTGAGACAACTGGCTAGTTTCCTGACTAGGAAACCAGGGCAAGCTGCTGGCAAGTTTTCTGACTATGGGGTCAGGGAGTCAATGGCCACAGAAGATACTTAGTCCCCAAAACTTAGTACAAGGAGTATTAAGTCCTGGCTTCTGTATCTCTCTCCATAGATGTTGCCAAACCTGAGTATTTCCAGCATTTTCTGTTCTTATTTCAGATTTTGCTGTTGCAAGAATGGATAAACTCTAGAGATACTCAACAGGTTAGACAATGTCTGTGGAGATAACAGGCAAGCCAGAATATCAGATGCCAATCTTGCATCAGAAATGGAAGGTAGCACAGATGAAAGCAAGGGGGAAGGAGGCAGAGAAAGAGACACAACCACACAAACAAGAAAGGGAACCAACCCATAGAAGTGGTCAACAGGGGCTAATTAAATAAAGTGATGTTTGTGTGAAACAATAGAAATTATAATGCTAGTAATCGAAGTAATGAAAGATCCGGTGTGAGATGCTGTCTGTGGCTGATGGAGGAAGCTTAGTCAGTTATTGACCAATATTTTTCCTGATCTCAATGCCCCCCACCCCAAATGTGTTACTCTCTTTTGGAAGTAGCCAAAACTGGCCCAAATTTAATCATTCCCAGAAGAGTTTCTGATGGATATTATGGGTCTGGGAGAGTGGGAGTGGGTGCAATGTGGACCCATCATGTTTTATGGCAGCATGACTGTGTGGAAGAGTTTTGGTGAAACAGAGGGTCTTCTCCTGTCTCCCTGTATAAGTGTGTGTTTCCCCACCCCTCCAAACTCCCACCGCCTTCCCTTTCTTTTAAAATGCTGATGTTCCCAGCAGGGAGAAATCAACTCCTCTGTTTTTTTGTCCACAAATCTTTTGAGTCCACTCTATTTCAGGTTTCCTGAATCTGCAGTGTTTTGTCTTTCTATCATGTGAGGGATAAACAGTCGAACATTTCCACAGAGGGATCTAGATAGTGATGGTGACTGGGGAAGTGGGGCAGGGGTAGGGGTAATGATAGGAGACAAAGTAGAAGAAAGTTACCTCCATATACATCAAGAAAATGCTCTTCAATAACAAACACAGTGTTACAAAGCATAGATGATTAAAATCTATTTTCGGAACTATATTGTGCATTTCAATGGGACTTTACCTTTGTGAGACAATAGGTTATCCATAGATTCAGACCACAGCATTACTTCTTCATGTGTTGGCCTATGAAAATAGTGACAATACCTTGAAAATAGCATCGGCAGCTTCCCAGCATTTCTTTTGGAATAAAAGCAATTTAAAATGACTAACTTCCATCAGTGTGTCTCTCTGACTTATGTTACTGGTGTATCTGGATTACATAACTTATCCACAGACTATTTCATAGAAAAATAAAGTCATTCATTTCTCAAGCCATGGTTTCTAAAGATAAAGCCTCCTTAACAACAAAAAGTTAACTCACTTTATTGGCATCTTGACCTTTGTCCTGGCTCTTGAGGTGAGCAATGTAATCACTGGTACTGTTGATGAAAAGTTCAATTAATTTAGTTTTCAGTTCTTTACTTCACTAATATTAAACTGTCTTGTTAGCAGCAAAATGTTGTACATGGTGTTTTCAGATTTGCCTGAAGGAACAAGCTTTGATTAATAGGATTTTGAGCATCTTTGCAATTCAGGGAGTGTTTTGACTTCCTAAACCAGACCTATGATTCTTTTTTAATGTAATAGTCAATGATTACATGGAGTTAAATAGAATTTCAGTGCAGAAACAGGCTTCTCAACCCAACTGGATAATACTAGCATTAACGATCCTTACTTCATCTAACCCATTACCAGTGAAGTACCACAAGGACCAGTACTGAGGCCTTAACTATTTACGAACTATATCAGAAGAAGGGATATTGTTGCCAAATTCACCCATGATAAAATGATAAGTTGGAAAGCTAGCTGTGATATGAAAAAGCAAAGAAGAGAAGCAAAGGGGTAAAGACCGGCAGCTAACATAAAGGGGAATTCCAAAGTCTTCTTTAGGTGTATACATAGTAAAAGAGTGGTTAAAATAGGAGTACAGCTGATTAGAGACCAAAAGGGGATTTACACATGGAGGCAGAGAGCATAGCCGAGTTGTTAAATGAATACTTTGCATTTGCCTTCATCAATAGGAGAATGCTGCCCTGGTCATGGTGATAGTTAAGGGAACTCTATCACAAGAAGGGTTCGAAATTAATGAGGAAGACATCTTGGATAGACTGTTGGTACTTAAAGTTGACAAGGCACCAGGACCGAATGAGATGCATGCAAGGATTTTGAAGGAAGTGAGGATAGAAACTATGAAGCACTGGTCATAATCTTCCAGAAATAAATACAGAAATTGCTGGAGAAACTCAGCCCATCTGGCAGCATCTGTGGAGAGAGAAAACAGAGTTAACATTTCAAGTCCATTGTCCTTTCTTCAGAACTATAATCTTTCAGTCCTCACTGGACTTGGGGGAAGTGCCAGAAGACTGGAGAATTGCAAACATTATGGCTTTTTTTCAAGAAAGTTTCTAAGCCCAGCAATTATAGAGCAGTCAGTTTAATTTCAGTGGTGGGGAAGCTTTTGGAAACAATTATTTGGCATAGAATTAGTAGTGACATGGACAAAGTTGGGTTGATTAGGAAGAGTCAGCATGGATTTCTAAAGGAGAAATTCTGTTTAGCTAAATTGCTAGAGTGTTTTGAAGAGGTAACAGAAACATTTGGTGCGGGTGACACTGTTGATATGATATACATGGATTTCCAGAAAGTCTTCATACAATGTGACACCGCAGATTTATGAGGAAAGTTATAGATCATTGGTATAAAAGGGGCAGTAGCAATGTGGATGCCAATTTTGACTAAGTGATTGGAAACAGAGTATTAGAAATTTTTCAGGCTGGAGGAAGTTTTGTAATTGAGTTCCCCAGGCACCCTTGCTTTTCCTGGTATATATTAATGATCTGGATCTTGGTGTATCGGGGACAATTTTGAAGTTTGCAGATGATGTGATGCTTTGAAGAATTGTAAACTTTGAGGAGGACAGTGTAAAACACCAGAAGGATGTTAACCTGTTGCTGGAGTGGGCAGATAGATGGCAGATGAAGTTCAATGCAGCGAAGCGTGATGCAATGCACTTTGGTCAGAAGAACATTATGAAAATCATATAAAATAGGAGGTACAATTCTAAATGAACTTAATGAATGATTTGTTGTCACGTGTATTTTGTAGTGAATAATACAGTAAAAAAGTAAAAAGCTTCAACTAACATCTCTAACTGGTGCCATTTTGTATAGCTTCAGAATAAAATAAAAGATATAGCTGAAAGAGCGTCCATCTTCATTCCACCATCCCCACCATGAGTCCTGATGGGCATACCAACAATGCCTGTGCCATCACCCCTCCTCAACTGTCTCGATGCAGGATGCAAGAGCGGTCGGACCTGGGTGAATATGTGTACAGATCGTTGAAGGCAGCAGCAAAGGTGGAAAGAGTGGTAATAAAGCATATACTGATTCGCAGCTTTATTAATGGGGCATAGAGTACACGGACTAGGAGTGACGTTCAAACTGTATAAGACATTGTATATTGTTTACAGTTGTGTGTGCCACATTATTGAAAAGACATAAATGCTTTGGAGAGAGTGCAGAAGCAATTTAACTAGATTGGTTTCAGGAATGAGAAACTTCAGTTATGAGAATAGAATGAAAAATTTGGGATTGTTCTTCTTGGAGAGAAGAAGGCTAAGAGGAGATTTGATAGAGGTTTTCAAAATCATGAGCTGGCAGGATAGAGTAGATAGGAAGAAATGGTTCCTGCTCATAAAAGGAACAAAAATGAGTGGGCATAGGTTTGAAGCAAGGGTGATTTGAATAAAGACATTTTCTCTCCGTGAGTAGTTAGGGTATGGAATGCAGTGCCTGTAAATATGGCAGAGGCAGGTCCAACTGAGGCATTCAAGACGGCAATGGATGATTATTTGGATAGAAATAGTGAGCAGGGACATGGGGAAAAAGCAGAAGTTGCCATTAGGTAATAATGTTTGTTTGAAGACCTGTGAGGCACAGTGGACTGAACGGCCTTCTTCTGTGCTATCACAATTCTGTGATTCTGTCAGGAGGATACATTACATTCTGTAAAGGGATAAAATGAGATGAAGTAAATGGGCTAAAATGTGACAGATTGAGCAGAGGGAAATTTGAAATTATCCACGTTGGGTGAAAGGATCTAAAGCATTTAATTATTGAAATGGCTGGGTCTTTGTCTTCTAAATTCTTTCATGGGATATGGGTCTTGTTGACAAGACCAGCATTTGTTGCCATCATTGATTGCCCTTGAATTGAATGGCTTGCTAGACCATTTCAGAGGATAGTTAAGGATCAGCCACATTGCTGTAGATCCAGAGTCATACCTTGGCCAAGTCAGGTCAGAACAGCATGTTCCATTCCCAGCAGGGCATTATTGATGGGGTTTTATGGTCAATATGCTGTATTTAAATACTGTATGTATCAGACAGCTAATGTAGTAAATGTTCAAGGTGCTACATAAGAAATTTGATTCTGTTATACATATGGAGAGATTAGGATAGATAATGGAAAACCTGGTCAAAGAAATGGGTTTTAAGGAGCACTTTATAGGAGGGAGAGGTTTAGGGGAGGAATAGTAGCTGAAAGTAGTCTTCAATAATGGAACAATGAAAATCAAAGATGTGCAGAAGACCAGAATTGCCATAGTTATGTGAAATAATTGCTTTTGTGCTGCAATTAGTGATAGGCTGTGCTATTCATACAAGTAACAGGCAACTCAAAAAAACCGGCTCAATGCAATATCCATTCAGCTTTGTAGATATTCTTGTAGCAAACTTCTGAACTCACAAAACTGACACTGAGAGGTATACCAGATTAAAACTGACCATTCTCAACAGCATTTTTAAAACTAGTTGTAACTATGTAAAGACATAACGTCTTTCCAGAACTTGAATGATGTGTGCATTGGCGAATCAGTGGGAAAATGAGAGAAGATTGGAAGAAATGAAATTCTCAATGCCGGGAACAAAAATTCGAATTCTGCAACCATATCTTGAACAATGAGACAGGAATCTCACTGGGGAGTGATGATTGGCTGATTTGTATCCAACGACATGACAGTAGTGCTTAATCTTGCCTTACTGATACCTGGCACATCCAGCTCACCATTTGTTTCTCTGGGCCTCCACCATGGACAGCAGTCCACAGGACACATTCCAGAGGTACCAAGTGCCTGCACCCACAGTCCATAGCTGTTAGCATCAGACATGAACCACATTACCACTTCATCATAGCATATTTCCAACCCACTTAAATACAGTTCTCCACTTCAATGTTGCATGTAGGAGTGCACCAACACCTTTTATTGTAATGGTATTGTCAGGACATTAAGATCCCATAAGCTATACAAGAGCGCAGACCTGATTTCTTCTCACCTTGAAATCTAATTGTTTGCCAGAACAATGTAATATGCAATGCAACTTTCTTGGATGATGTAGGAGGAAGGGATGAGGGGGACGCTAGTGATCAGTAATCCTACAAGATATTCAATCTCCTGCTGTGATGGTATGACACAACTTATGCTGCATACATCAGTCAGATCCCAATGTCAACATTCATGTAGAGTCATTCAATGGTCCTCCATGTCTCGCTTTATGAAGGATTATGCTAAATCTCCATTTGCAATTGGTGCGGGCGCTGACTGCTCACATTACTACGGATCTGTTTTGTTTCAGGTATTCCCCACTCAATTTCATTGGAGCAATGATCAATGGATCCAGCCACAGCAGGAGTTATTGTGGATGTGGTCACAGTGCAAAAAAGGTGCGGAGAAATAGAGGAGGAACTGATGTACCAGCAAGTCGAGGACAAGCAGCAACCTCGCGCAGCTGCTAAACAGCCTCCACTTGAAGAGATTATAGCTGAAGTTTCTCTCAGACTTCGGAGGAAGTACAGAAGGCCCAGAGTCCATTGTCTTCAATGTTATTTCCTCCAGAAGAGCAGGGGACAGTGTAGCTGCAGATTGAGGATGTCCCGGGACATCCATTGTTGAAGTAACACCTGAAGAGTGGGTCGGCGTCCGAGCCCAGTAGCTGTCAAAGTGACAGAAGCTGTGAATTTTCATGCAACTGGCTGCTTCCAAAGAGTTTCTGTGGACCTGTGTATCATCTCACAACAATAAA